GAGTTTCAAGAAGTTCTTGCTCATTGTTTCATTAAAAAATATGTTTAGAAAAGATGTGAAATTACGATCTTATAGACTTCACTCCCTCTCAAGGTGCCCCAACACTTTTTACCATCTCTTTTCTTGTCCTGTACAGAGGATGAGCCCTCTGAGAACATACAAGGCAATTCCACCTGTAATGAAGACTGGCTAGCTGTAACTTTCAATGTGGGCATAAAAATGAAGTGCTAATTATTAGGCAATGCTCTCGTCAATAGCAATAACAGAAACAGCTTTTTACAACACTAGAGAGAGAGAAATACACAAAATACAAGAAATATAAAGAAAGAATCATAGCTTCCCACTTGAATTTATATAAGACTGTGTTTTCCCCTTGTGCATATTTCAATGTACTTTACAGAAAATCATTTAAAATTCTGTACACATGCTGCCCAGCTGAAGACTGAATACTATTCCATGAGTAAATACGATGACACTGGGCTTTGCAAAGTCAGAAAGAAAGATTTAGCAAGGACCGGAGGAGACCATTTTGCTGTTTTCCCAAAATTAACATTGTTTTTCCCTGCGAACAGAGCACTAATTCTAGTCTACCACTTCAACTGCAAGGTCTTTGCGCTGCCACTGCTTTTTGCAAAGTTTCCTTCTTCCAGACTCATTCCACCTGGCAGAAACTCCAAGTTTTAATCAAAGAGAATGAAACAGAACTAACCAGACTGAATTCTGTTGGATGTGCAGAGGGAAGTGAAAGGAGTATTCAGAAAAGGATGAACTGAGTAAAAATAAAGCAAGAAGCAATGGCAGAAATAGATGAGTAAGAAAATGATACTTCATGTGCAGCACTGCTCATCATTGAGTAACAACGTCCTATCACTGCTCTTGCTTCCCTGCACTAACTTTCATCAGGGTCTATCTCCATCCCCACTGAACACTATTCATCTTAAAACTCCTTTGCAATATTGCCCAAAAGTTTAACTTTCAGAATGTGCCAAGCAGAAGATACTGACATTATAAATACACAGTGAACTAACACACCCACATGTATAGCTTGTGTCTCTCTAAAAATAAAATTAGACCAAAACTTTTCCAAATATTTTCATACTGCCAGGTTGGCAATGTTTTGTATAAATCTTTCTTCAGGTCTGAAATAAAAACAGTAACTTGTGAACTACAAATTAGTTGAGAACAATTGTTTTGAAATTAGTTTGATTTTGTTCATCAACAATTAGAGACAAGGCAGCTCTAAGTGTCAAATGGGTGGATGCCAGAAGGGTGAATGTGGTGAAGCACCTCCTTTAGTTAGTCACAGAAGAGCAGTGCCTCTACCTCCATAAGGAGGTGACCATGAACACCTACCAACCAAGTCTCAGGTACAACTCAAGATTGGCCAAATTCTACTGTCTTCATCAAAGTCATCAATAGGACACTCCTTAATAGAAAGCAGCATCCTCTTCTATTGTAGTCAAACAGCACTACGTTTTTTTTCCTATTATGAATTATCTTATCTAAACCAAATGCACACAGCTTTCCAAATTTCAGAATTACTGAAGAGCTGGTAGCAGGACACATCACCAGGCTGTGCATCCTTGCTCCATTCCAACCTTTCCTCAGCAAGAAGCACTATTTCAACATTACAGGTTAATCTTTTTCAATTCTCTCCTCTCACCCCTATCTGAATTTCAGAGAAAGAAAAATCTTGCAGGAACAACTGTCTCTCAGATACTTCACTGATTTGCATGAACCTTGCCACATTTAGTACCAGTATACATTCCTTAAATCTTTAATATCATATTTTTTTTATTAAATACTGAATCATTTAACTACTATAGTGGAATTAAGAGCTGTTTCAGAGGAGACATCCATTACATCAACTGCAACAGAAACAACATAAGCCATGAAAGCCTATTGGTGGTACTGACCACTGTGACTGTTGCTATTTTGAGCACTGCTTACCATTAATGATGATCTAAACCTTGCACCAAAACTGCTATTTTACTTGAATTTAGCCTTCATATGCAGTAAAGATATAGTGAAGACTACAAATCATCATCACAGATAAACACATAGCAAGGTGACAGTTCAAATGTTACAGATCCCTGCAATTTCTGAGTAGTAGTAGTGCAACTTTGCAGCGCATTAGAGGAGCAACTGTCAATTAACCAAAGTTCAAAAAAAAATAAGGCATGTCATGGACAACAGACAGAAGTTATCATAAGAATGAAATATGCCAGGAATTGTATTCATTCTTCTTGTTGCCTGTATTCTCAGATGCAGCAACAATAAGAGGTGTGGAATATAATTCTAAACATGACTGAGACTAAATGTTTTTAAGATATAGAACTGAGTTCAAATTTATTCATACCTCACCATAAGCTTCCCTCTCACAGAAGTGATTCAACTTTCCTCTCCCGTGTCTCAGGTGGATGCTCAAGTATACAAGTAAAAGCAGATTTGGTACTGTTAAACTGATCCTTTCCTGCCATCTAGGGGACACAAACTGGTGTGCAGAGGACTGTCTTCAGTTACATACAGGGAAACTTTCTATACAAAAGGCTTATCTCTACCCAGCAAAACAAAAATCAACTTAATTGAAGAGTAACACACCTACCAAGAAACAACCATAACTGATGAAAGCACAACTATTTTATTGGAGACCATACTTTAATTTTTATTAAACTCTTTATGCCAGAGTTTAATTCTGGCATAATCCTAAAATTTTCTACAGTAAATTTCAGTTAAATGATCAGCAAAAATATTGAGGTGGTAATTTAAGCCTCACTTTTATGACATACACCCATGTCTTCTGAGCTACACAGCCATGAGAAAAGCCTTTTGATTTTCCTTGATTCCTCAAGACAGCAAGATGTGTGATGCTATAAGCAGCGTGTCACTGTCAACAGCCAATAAAGGATTGTCTGTCAACCCAGAAAATGAGGAAGTCAAACACAGCCTAATTGCTTCACACCTGATATTATGAAAATTTAGCTTAGAAACTCAGAACTTGATTTCCAATACATCATCAATGTGAAGTCTCAAGTCTCCTGCCTGCATGGTGGGTGCACACACTGTGTACACATCATGGACCTTTCTAGTGCACCACCCTCTAGGAAGCGAAACATAGAAACACTCAATGTTGAAAGATCATCAACGTAATTTTGGAAAACGTTAAAGGCTTTTCCAAGATCCAAGTTTCTATTGATAACGCTGGCATTGTGGCCAGGTTTCTCATACTTGCTCTCCTCACTGTTGCCTTCCGGGCTCTTTCATAAGGCAGACTCTAAAAAAGAAAGGAGCAAACTCAGCTAAACGCTAAGCATAGTCAAATGCACAGGCAAAAATCCATACAAGTTTTTTCCCACTCTTTTGTTTGGATTTGTTTTGTTCTTACTTTGAAAGGGAACAGTACCCTAAAACAAACTCCCCTCACTAAAACAAAGACCCACGCTTCCCATGGCTGAAACGATGTGACAGTCTCTTTAGGATCAAAGCTGGAGCTTCTCCCAAGATGAAAAGAAGCAGGTGTCCAGCCAAGATGTTTTGAGAACTGGCTACAGCTGCACATGATGCAGGCCCTAAGTCTGCCCCAGTGAACAGATTGGAGATGAAATTAAAGTGACAATGCTACCCTTGTGAGACACCTATTCACCAAAAAGCATTCACAAATAAGAAACCTCTCAAATTTAACAGAACAACTCAATTTTATTTTGACAACAAATATTTTGAGCAGCTGTGCCCAAGTCCTCTCCCCCTTACTGTGTGCCGTGTGTTTAAAGAGCTGGAAAGAATCACTCGTTTGGGGATACTGAAGCTCTTTACCACCTACACAAGAAAGTAAAAAAAAAAAAAACAAATAAAAAGCCATGTGCCAACGCATTTACAGCAGTACAATATAAATCTCCATAAGACATCTTAATTTCTTGAATTTAAGCTGATTAATACTGTTCTTTGGGAACAGCACATTAAATACAGAATATTTTCAAAGTGTAAAACTATCAGCCATATATTTACTACATTCAGACTAGCAAACATTACGCAGTATTTGGCAATGCAAAGACATATGCAGTATTCTAAGGCACACCTTTAAAAATAATTTTAATCAAATCACTTCTGGTTTAACAGGCACTGAAGTTATTAAAAACAGACCCCCAAAAATCCCACACCAGCCCTTTTTAAAAAAAAGACCCAAAACAAATCACAGCAACAATGCTGTGAACAAACTGATATTATCAATAAAACTGTTGTAGAAAATGAAGTTATTAGGTGATCAAAATCATAGCAATTGTCAAGAATGTTTTATTTTTTAAAGATATTCAAAGGTTTTAAGTGCTAAGAAATTAAAAAAAAAACCCTTCCATTATTCTGATATTTTAAGGTCTACAATCTGACCATTTCCTCCTAATCAAAGTTATACGTATTCCCTCAGGTGAGACTGGATTTAGTAATCAAACTATAGATTTACAAATGGTTATAGCCAGAAGGTATTAAATACAAAATTCTTTTTTTTAAACAACCAAAGGGCTATACATCCAGATAGTGCTCTTTATAAGTATTTAGGGCTACATTTCGAATTACATAAAAATAAACTTGAAAATAAATTTAAATTGCAAACTGAAATTAAGTCACCAAAGAAGAAACATCATTCATACTTTTATTTTATTTTTTTCATTATGATTTTCTTTCCCAAGAACAAAAAAAATCTTATTTCCACACATTAGAACAGGTGAACATTAGAGCAAGCAGCTTTATATCAGATTTTAACCTTGCCTTGCATTCATCTTTTTTTTATACACTTTTCACTGATTTTCATTATTTTCTGAGTTTTTTGACTTAATAATCAACAGTCTTTCTCCTAAATGTGACTTTTGCTAACCAGCAACAATATACAACTTCATTCAACCAATCAGTTTCCACATGTATTCAAAGTCTTTTTAACACTTATAACAACATATTTGTTGATACTTATAAAATTTAATTAAGTTTTGTTCAAATAAAAATGGAAGCAAATTGAAATTTACAAAGCTTAAAATTTTATTAAAGAAAAATCTGTGTGCTTGAATTATCAAAACAAGATTTAACAAAAACATTTTGTCATTAAAGGCCTACAGTCAATTCACAAAATGGTTCTGGTAACCAGACTCCACGTGGCTTTTAGGCATGCAGAAGTATAGAACGGTGCTTTTGGAAGGCCTGGCAAGCATTTATGCAGGTTAGTACCTGACTGCTGCTGGGACTTCACTAGGATTTAGGGTGTCCACTATTGGTTTTGGTTTGTTTTTTTTTTTTAATCCTCATATGACTTTTTGGGCGTTTAGTGGTCAGATTTTTTTGATGCTTAATGTTCTCAATTAACTCCATATCTTTACATTATCTTGATAGATCTAACTTCATTCCCTTCAAATTGAATTAAGGGTTACTAGGTCCAATCCTTCACCACCTGTTTTTCAAATTTCAGGTGAAGGAATCTAACTCAAACACTGCCAAAAGTTCTCCCCTTGTGCAAATAAGACTAAAACCAAAAATTAAGGCAAAATAATTTCTCAGCAAAAAATCTGAAAACATATGTGATAGTAGGTAAATATATGTCAAGATTAGCTTCAGTCTGAAGTCTACAGACACAGCACCATGGTATTGTTTTGCTTATAAATCTGGCTTCCCTTTTGATTTTGCATTCATTTAGAAAACAGCATTCTCACTAAAAGGTGAGGAAGGCTCATGTATACAGAATTAAAAACTTTAACAGTATACAGCAAGTCTACACATAACACTGGCTGCTGTGATTCCAAATTTAATTATGAGAGATTTATTTTTAAAAAGGTATTCAAGTTCTAAAACACTACTCTAGCACTTAATAACAAAATTTTTTATCCTCTGTACAGAGATGTATTTTCAAGTAAAAGAATCATATCCTAGAACTACATACCAGAGAAATTGAGACTGAAACAGATTTTTTTTAAGGCAAAAGCTCCACTGTATACCAGGTTAAAAGCCACCACAATATTAACTATAGCTAACTCATTAAGGACTTACAAATTCATATTCGTAACTATTAATTCCACTGCTGGCTAGAATGCTACTGATGTTCTGGGAAGTCTAGCTGGAGATATGGTTATCCTTAGAGGTTAAAGAAAGCTATGGCAGAGTAAAGTTAACCTAATCACTACTTTTAATCATTAAATAAACTGTGCTCATTTATGTTAGTAAGTTATACAAACTATTTAGAAAGAGGAAGTATGAAATATTGACAATGACAAAACAGATTTTAAAAGGCTACCATCGAAAAAGTTAGAATACATATTCAGAGGAATTTCAATGCTAAAAACAGATTCACATATGTTCTTCCACCGGCAGATTAGTGTATTAAAAAAAGTTAAGAAAATACTTTTGTGTTTCAGTTCAATTGCGCTTGATTCAAGCACAGCTTAGAAGTTGGCTGATATAAATTAAACATGGTCACTGCCTCAGCAGCCAAAAGTACAGAAAAATGTACATGTTCACAGGATAAATAGAAGTCTCTTCTTTTGGAGGAATAAAAAAAAAAAGTAAAAAAAGCTATCTCACTCCAATACGGGAGGTCATCCACTCCAAGCCCTGGCATAATCTGAAAGAGAAGAGATGTTATTGGTACTAGTACTATCCCAACATCTTGAAAGTATTTTCTGGTTGACTTTATGTGTAAAAACATCTCCTTAAAATAAATTAAATCAACTGGAAATGGGATTGAAAGTTGAACAGAGTAAGCAGCGTTTTAAGCTAAGTCTATAGGCTTTAACCACAAGAAAATGGTCTTGCATTCTATTTTATTAGAGCTTGGCAGAAGTTCAATTTTTTTCTTTGTAAATCTGAGAGACACTACTCTTAAATGCTAACTCATTAGTACATGGAACCAAACAAGTTTTGCTTTTTCTACAGATTTCCCATGAAAGACTGCTTACATGAAAGCTAGACCATTATATACTAACTAAAAGACAAAGGGCAGGTTAACCAGACTGAATTACTTAACGAAAAGGCAGTGTATCAAGAATTCCAAAATAACATTACAAAATTAAAAGAATGTTTATATTGAATAATAAGACTGCATGGGATCTAATCTGCTTACTAACTCCATCTCCATCTCCATTTAAAAGTCTTCCATTTTAGAACACCGGCTTTCCTTTGATTTTCTAGGGATCTAGTTACCTTGTTTGTGCCCCCTAAGCTTTACCTTTGTAAAGTAAGTCATGACTTAGCTATCCGAGAATGCTAACTTCACAAACACAGGGCTAATCTCCCCAGACTTCTGTCAGATCTTTCCAAGGAAGACTCAGCTCAGCAATCTAACTCCGGGATTTTTTTTTATATATTGATCTTACTATTGTCACAGTTTAAAGTATTCTAAATATTCACTTTTGTTTTACAATAAGAAAGAAGCAGCCTATGATGGCCACTCTTTCTAAACTAAAGTTCATATTTATTAATTATTACTTTCCTTCAAATGTCAAATTGGTTGAAGATCTTAGTACATAAACTTGAGTATTTAAAAGTGACTTTAGCAAAATTGGTAGAAGGAAACCAGAATTAACTCTTAGAATGAAACAGACTCAATGAAAAAAACAGTTTATCCTCACTAACACATCCCACCCTAAGGAAGTTAATGCCACCATTCACTCTTCAAGATATCTCCATTACATTAGAAAATACTTCATATTAGAAAGAGAGGAAGATGCTCTCACTTCCCAAATACTCAGCTGGATTCACTATTTTTGATGTCACAAGACTGCATTATTATAAAGGTTGTACAACACAGCTGAAAAAAACCCTCTAAATATTACACATTATAAGACTGCTTTAAAAATCAAGATGAAAAATTAGCACATTTCACACCTACAAGCAAGGCATTATTCAACTTGCTAAAAGGCATCCAAAATTGTTTTTTGATCTTCACAGACAAGAGATCTAAGGAAAGCTCAGCTTCCCATTTTAGTAATTGCTGGCATAAGGTATTCAAATTTCAAAATTAGTTACATGAGCCAGATATAAACAAAATGTTAAGTATTGATAACAATTTTGGCTTTTTATACCTTTTCATCAAAACTATGTTTCAATGCTTATCAAAAAACCCAATCAACCAAAAAAACCCAACCCCAACCCACCAATTTAGAAGCTTCCTACAGATTAGAATGTAAAGGAAGAAAACAGTAGCTTATTTCTTTAAATACACCAAGACATACAAAATAAAAGAGAAGTGCACAGAGAGTAGACAGTTATGCCAACAGCTACATATTTGGGTCAAAGAGTGTTGTTTGGTTTTTGTTTTGGGGTTTTTAACAATACACTAAAAGACTTTCATACGAACATGGAGTTTGAGCTATGAAAAAACCCACAAAGTTAAAAAAAAAATTATGAAAAATTCAAAATACCCCTCTTAACTGTAAAGAGCAGAAAATATGTTCTTTCAGAAAATCCACACTGGCATCAAGAGGATTCTAAATCAGTATTCTCATTTGCCACAAATTGCTGTACTAAGCAGTAAGCATTTACCCTTCTCCTGTCAAAGCACAACAGGATTGAATGTGCCACGGGTGATCCTTTATGGAGCTGAGGGTGAGGTATGTAGATATCTCGGCAGCTGTCATGCAGCCTTTCATGTCCTGCTTGTTTGCAAAGATGAGAACTGCAGCCTTCCGTAAATCCTAGAAATGATTTAGAGTACTCATAACAGTTATTATGAACAACTAAAAGGCTATTGTGCTAACTTAATTTCTTAAAAGAACTGTATTCAAGCTAATCTACAATTACACAGGAGTATGGAGTTTTAACCAACTTTCTGTAGTAAAAATTCATTACATTAAGACTGAAGAAATTAATTTATTCAGTTCTCCACCACAGAGGATCAAATTGAAATGTTTTATATGACTACCATTTTGGTGTTGGCCACATGTTCATATATAACTAATGAAAGTCTTGTTAAAATATATTTTATAATGCTCCAAACCACCCAGCCCACAGAATTATTACTGGCAAACATTTCTAACTCTACAATAGATACTATTCAAATGGAAAAGCCTGCTAGATATCATTCCCTTGAAATTGCTTTCAACGTCATTAAACAAGTTCTGTAGTGATTAAAACAGTAATAAATTAAAAAAGCTATCTGAATTCATGTAAGTTTAATCCTGGTGTTCCAAAAAGGGAGCTGTAACAATGCTGCAGCAGTTTTAGTAACTCCTTAAAAGTTGCTTTGTTTCAGTGTGGAATTTAGGATTCCAAACAGCACTGAGGCAAGAACTGGGCTGTATGGCTTTAGAAGTGCAGAAGGGTAAACAAATGCAATACTCAGGAGGCTGACAGTTGCAATTAAAAGTGTTCAATACGCTTCAATGTATATTAAGTCTGGGACTATTTCTCCATCAAGAGGAAAAAAAATAACAACAAAGTTTTATGATCTAAAGCTGAAAATTCTCTCCTACAGGTAGTCCAGTCTAGGCCTACCACCTGTTTTCAAGAGATGGCAGATCACAATTTCATAAGAGTTTAAGACTGGAAACTAATAAACTACATGGCAAAACTTCACCACAAGAAGTCATCTTCCCACTTCTTTTGGGAGCGTATTTGCTTCTTACTACCAGACCCAAACTACTTTAATATAAAACCGTAAAGCAAAAACTCACTTATTCAAAACAAAGCAAGATTCTCAGAGAAATGAACTAAACAGAATTACTTGCACTGTACTAAATCCTTTTCTTTAAAAAATGAGGGAGAACATTTAGATTTAAAACAAACAATTTAGCTTGAGAGTGTTTAGCTAATCCAATGTACATGTTAGTTTACGAAGTTTGAGGGAGTTGACCCAACGTTGAACAACCCAAATAAAAGTACAAACAAAATAATCCATAAGGAAAATGAACTGAAATTAATTTATCCATATATATGCTCCTTAATTTTAAGGAATAGGATTACAACAAACAAGAAAAAGTAGGCAATTCCATTTTTCTAAAATAAAAATTAAAAAAAAATGTTTCTTCAAATTTTAACCATTTAACTGAAAGGAGATTGTGGTAGAGGATGATAATTCCTTTTTAAACTAATATGAAGCATAAGATATTTTAGAACTTCAGATTTGCAAAGATTGATCTGATTACAATCAAGCAACCCTTAATAGAGAGTGTTTCACAACAATTTTTCTGCTTATTTATAGTTTATGTGGTTTTAAAATGTGACTAACATGCATGCACATTTATTCTCAGATTTTTTTTGTGACAGTATAATTTTTGTTAGCATAGGAAGCATGTAATGTTATTTGACTGTTCTCAACAAAACTATTATCCCAACTCCCCACCATACCTCATGAGCCAGCATTCTATAAAGTTCTTCTTTTGTAATAGAAAGTCGCTCTCTATCAATGCTGTCAACAACCAGAATGATGAACTAGGGAAAAAACCCAACAGTAGAGTACGTAAGTAAAAAGTATAAATTACAGAAAGCACATTTTCAAGAGATCACTAACTGCAAGTCTTCCTCTAGAAGAGACATACACTTGCAGGACACTAGAAAAGAGAAAAGTTTTATTGTTACAGTCTTTTGCTAGAGCTGTGGGAATCATACATGATGATTATAGCTAAAAAAAAAATAATCTAACAGTGTCATGCTTGCACATTTCAGCACTATTATTTAGATCTGCCTATATGTACTACAGCTAAATCTCCTTGGAGGATTTTCAGGCTACATATATTCAAAATAGCTATGTTAGTACCAAAAAGCACCTACAGATAGTGGATTACATTTAAAATGTGGATGACAAATGTGCTACAGATGTCATCAATGAAAACAGCTGCTACTGTCCATTACTACTTGCATACTCAAGAAATTATAAATCTGAAATTGAAATTATGTACTTTTAAAGAACCATATTTTACTTTACAGTTCAGCATCATTTTACTCACAAGGCTTAAGAAAGATTATTTCAAATAATTTCAAATATTTCAAATTTCAGAAGTCACAAGGCTATGTATCTGTAGGGCTTAGCACTATGTTGCTGCAAACTTCATTTTACCGAGGACTTGTGCAGTTGGCCTCTCACAACTTTGCACCCTTCCATCTTTTGGTGAAGCCCTTCCAGGCTTTGGGAGATGGCTGTAGCAGTGATTTTACCCTTACATTCTTCTTACATATAATATAAATTAATATAAATATATTAATATAAATACACTTGTGGACTCTGGGACACTGCTAGGTCTGGTAGATCAGGCCTCCCATGGGAAGCAATTGTCACTGGTATGAAAATGACTGTCTACTACCCTCTCTTTCCACTCCTTGTTTTGTACCTTCTATTTTATAGCCTTGCACTAGAGAGGAAAAAGATACAGCATTTTGCAGTAGGTAACACTCAAGCAAATTCTTCTTCATCACACAACAGTATTTGCACACAAAGCATAACAACTGACCAACACTTCAATACTTGCCCTGCCCAGAGTGCTCCAAGCAGTGCTAACAGCATCATGGAGGGGACAATGAGTAGGGAGACCAAGCACATTCTGATGAAAATTATGCAGATACTATAATAACAATAAAATAAATTACAGGGGACATTTGCTACACTGGAGAGGAAACCAGGAAGATTACATTCATTACTTCTATGCCCAGATAACAGTACTTCTCAACCTCTTTTCTCCTTCACTGTAACTCTCTTCGTTCACCCACAAACCCAATAACTTAACCGTGGCAGCTCCCTCCCCTCTCCTGTCCTCCCAGATTTTTATCTTTAAGTCTGTCTCAACATCCTCTCTGTAAGAATATCATCTAACACTTAAAACAGAATTGCAGAACTAGCCATATTAAGTTGAAACTAATTAGGACAGGTATGCATTAAAATCCTTATTTGTGGGACTTTTACATTACTCCAAAGATTTTGTGTAGATTGCTCCAATTTGCACACAAGGAAAGAGAGAAAAGAGAGACAGTAACAGAAAAGGAGAATTAGAAATCACTGCTATAATTCTCCAACATATGCTCCAAATCTCTTCGCCTTAGAAAATTAAAGAGATGCATTAGCCATTGAGAATGACCACAGAGAATGAAAAACTAAGTCAATTTAATGCTGCTGTGACTTTGAGATGCCTAGCAGATGAGGAGGAACAGTAAAGGAATTATTCATATCAGGGAGGCTAGGATTGGCATACTAAACAGATCTCTTTTCTTCCTCCGCTGTTTCCAGCAGACAAAGCTTCTAAGTAAAAGGGAAGTTCTTCTTTCCAAGTATTAAAAGGCACTGGATTTCAAACACTTACTAGCCAGAATATGATGAAGAACATCATGAAAGTATCAGAGAAAGAACTAATATATGCATCTCTCCAAATTCCAAAATCAAAGGTACGCAAGGGACAAAGGCCAAGAACTTACTGCTCTGTAGCAGATAATGCTAGCAGTAGCGTCTTCAACTTCATGTGTGTCTTAGATGTAGCTATACTTTTCCAAAAAAAATTAAAAATTAGTTTAAAATACTAGAGATGAAGGTTGAGATGTCATCACCAGGCTTTCAGAAGATCTAGGATGGATTGCTAATCTCACCTCTCTCCAAGAGAAGTATAGGGCAGAAAAATCTCATTTTACAGGAGGATGGAATACTTACATAATGAGCAGTATCTACAAGAGATTTCTGCTTTTAGTAGAAATTGTAAGAAATTAAGCCTAAAATAGTTTACATTAATGTAGATGTCTCAAAGTGAGTCCTCAGAGATTACATGTGCATTTTGTATTGATAACCTTTTGGCAGCAAAAACGCTGGCATAAAAAACAACCCCCCAAAAGACAACTGACACTGAATTCCAACCTTTCCAGCAATGCCAGCTTTGCCAGTACCTCACGAGTATTGCAAAGCTAGACTTTCCTTTACCCTTGGATAAAAGCCACAAGCTGGTCAGCTTTTTAAATACCGCTGCCTAGAGAAAGTTTCATTCTTCATCCTTAATTATCATTATCTCAAAAACATTTCAGACTAGATGTACAGAAGTCAGGTTGACCACTGCAAATCCTCACTAAATTTGCAAATTACAATGCAAAATTTTCATTTTAATCTAATTAAAGAAACCACGTAAGAAATGTGATCTGAAAAGTATATTGATATCATTTATTGCCTAGGAAAAAAGTCTCACTTCATAGTTTATATCATAGATCAAACAACAGTACTGTAAAGTAAACAGGAAAAATACTTCAAATATTACCAATGAAATGGCTGCATACCAGAGATACCTCACACTTTTTGGGTTTGTTCTTGTTCAATAGGATTTAAAAACAATACAGTTGCAAACTTTATAAAAATATACCAATATTCCTAATAAATAAATATAATTTCTAACAAACTTGCAAAGCAGCTTCTCATACCTCTGTGTTTGAATAATAGGTATTCCACGATGACCGTAACGATTCTTGTCCTCCAATATCCCACATTAAGAAATGAGTGTTTTTCACCACTATTTCTTCTACATTGCTTCCTATGGTTGGAGAAGTATGAACCACCTCATTCATTAAACTAAAGGAAACAATATCACACAAAGGACCAATCAAAGAAATCCACAAGGCTTGTTACAGCTCAGTTATAATAAATTTGTTGTAGAAAAAGTAAATATGTGTAACTGATTAAAAAAATTTTAAAAAATCAGGCATATTTTAAAAAAGTTATACTTTTGAAATTTATGGAATGCATTGACTGTAGACATGCTTAAAGACATCAGCAATGAAAATTAAGCACATAAAAGACAACAAATGGATAAGCATCTGCATTTTAGGAGGATTCTCTTTTTAAAGGACATTAACAGATACTTAAAATGCACTTGTCTTAAAGTAGAAGCTGCTATTCTAAAGATCCCAAATATGGGAATGTTGAACTGTGCAAAATATAAATCAGAATATAATTTTATCAGAGCACTCTACTTAGTAACTCAACATTACAACCAATCCCAAAGGACTGTTTGATTACATAGCCAAAAATTCCTCAGTTCTACCTTTAAACTTTCTCAAAAATGCTTAGGGAAAAAGAAGTATTTTGAGAAAACATACTCTGCTGCTTTTGTATCCAAATATACGGACAGTAATTTAGCTACATCCTCCCTCTTTTCTACAATTACAATAGTAATTATGGTCCTGCTGACATTCTTGAATTTATGATGGATATTCTTGTAATGCTGGCAAGATTTGGGTGCAATGATGCTATTGAAAATGCCTAAGGTAGAACCTGGGCAAGATGAAATACTATTTTTAGGAATTCTCCATCACAAATTTTAGACACAGGAACAGGGAAACATTTGGAAATATTTATGGATTTTTTGCAGAGTGGCTAGAATTTCCATTAATTTAAAAACACTTTCTTCTCTGCAGTTACTGGCAACAGGATTATTTCTACGCTTACAAATTCAGATGGGCTTTGATGGCAAAAAAATTGCAGTTCACTTTGTGCTTGTATGTACAATTTCCTTATTCAATTTACAATTTAGTTTTAAAGCATGGCAATTGCTTCTCTTATCCTTTAAATATTTACTCTGTTTAGAACAACTAATACTGTTAACGTACAAACTGTGATCTGGAATCCTAGAGATTCTGCCAGGTTACAAAGCTGAATTTTCAATGATTAAACAATGACAAATACTAAAATGCAAACAGGAAAACAAAGTAGTTCATGTACTTACAACTGGTAAAGAATAGTAGTCTTTCCAGCATTATCAAGTCCCACTATGATTACTTTGTGCTCTGGATATACAAAAAAAAAAGAAGACAAAAACAAATTACTGGAAACAGCAACAGTTATAATTCTGGTTAATCACTTTTCCTTACTGAAGAAAGCAATAGCTTGTTTGCCTTATTTCAATAGCTTACATAGAATAGTGGTGGCTTCGGGACAAAAAAAAAAAGCCGAACAAAACTATAAAGTCTCATCTTCTCTTGAGACTACAATCTTGGCAAAAATCAGCACTGGAGATCTTCAGAGAGGAATGGTTACTTCATCAAAAAAATCTAGTTTTAGAAAGAAAAGTACAATGAAAAAATGTAACTCATAGTAGTCTATCATCTTAAGAACATCACCAAACATCCAAAGACTGCAAAAACATTAGCCTAACGGTCAAGGCTCAATAAAAGCCACTTGTTAAGGGATCGCCATTATCTATATAGTAGAATCTAAGAGGAATCTGCATTTTGAATAGACTGCAACTTTTCAACTTCTAAATTGAAAGTCACAGAATGACAGAATGGTCACAGAATGAGAGAAGGCCTAAAGACACTTCTGAAGGTCACCTAGTTCAACCCTCTTGCTCAACCAGGGCCACCTGGAGCCAATGGCCTAGGAGCATGGCCAGATGGGTTTTGAATGTATCCAAGGATGGCAACTCCACAGTGCCCCTGGACAACTTGTGCCAGTGCTCAGAGTTTCCTGACATAAAGAGAGAACCTCCTGTGTTTCAGGTGCTGTGTTGCCTGATCCTGTCACTAGGCACCACTGAGACAATCAGACTCTGTCCCTTTTGCATCTCTTTTCTCATATGTGAGATGTTCCAGTTCCTTAATCATCCCTGTGGCCCATCACTGGACTCCCTCCTCTATGTCCATTTCTCTCTTGCAGTAAAGAGCCCAGAACTGAACACACTACTCCAGGTGAGGCCTCACCACTGCTGAGCAGAAAAGAAAGATCACCTCCCTCAAAAAAAAATATTTTCTTATTTTTAAAAATAAAATTGCTTTTCCCTGCATCAGACAAACCCAGACCCTCCCTGCTGCAAAGTCCAGCTTATAGAATAGTGATCTTCCAATTGCCGCAATGTCAATTTTTCCAGGCACGAAGAAACAAAACAGAAAACAAACAAACAAAAAACCCCTTCAGAATTTATATGCTTCTCTGTAAATAATCCTTCTAAGAATTTCAAATCCAGCACCACAGCCAATTAGAATAGTGGTTCTTCTGCGACATGTGTGAAGTTAAAAGGTACCAACCCACTTATTGACAAAAAGGCAAGTCACTTGAGACCAGTGAATTTGCAAATGGATACTAGGAGCAAAACGTATTTACAAAGTCTGTGAACAGGCTCACTTTTGAAGATATAATATTTACAGTGCTAGGGCACTTACTCTAAAGCAAAACATGGTTCACAGCTTAAAGATTTCCTGTAAAATATTGCACTTGATTTACAAGACTTGCTAAAAAATCAGATCTATCATAAATGTCAAATTGGTAGGGCTTTGCCCATAAGTGGGTGGTTTAAGGAAGAATTAAAGTGTTGGTTTTCTGGGTTTTGTTTTGGTCTTAAATCTATTGATATGTAATTACCTACATCTTTTCATACTGAAAGTGACTATAATGAAAGATTCCAGTTTGGGAATTTTAGAAGTTTTGCTATGCAATACCATCATAAGAAATGCTGAAATGTATTTCCTTGTGCCAGTTCCCCTACTACTGCATCCTGTCAACACATTCTAAGGAAAGAACTTTTCCTGGCCTTAAATCCAGTAGTACTTCTAGCACCATAAGCAGCAGCGCCAGTAATTAGTAACATTTCCCAGTACAGAAATACTACGAAATCCTCTCTGCTTTCAATGCTGATAAACCATGCCTCATAGCTTGACTGTCCATCTCTTCTTCAAATTCAGTCAAAGAGCTCTCAAAGTTCAAACACAGAAATACCCTTTGGTTGTTTTCAAACCAGACGTTGTTAAGCATTGCCTGGAAGAAGATGACCCTACTTTAGCAACATTCCGTTTCGAGTTATTTTCAAGGAAGAAAATGAATTCCAGTCAGGCATTACATTGCTCTTACAATACAATGCTTAAGTGTGAATTACTGGAGTGCTGGATGAAACAATATCACCCTACTTAAAGTAATAAAAAAGATCTCCATTGAGATGACTGTTTTTGAAAGCCACCAAAGCATGAATGGTTTGACGTTATCTGGAAAAAAAGGCACAGCTTATCTGTGTTACTCCATAGTCAAACAGTATTTCACACAGTAACTGAATAACCACAAAGAAGAAATAGTCACACAAGTGTTAATTAATGGTGATCTGGGGATAAATATAATAAGATGAATGCATTGGTATCTCATACAAATAGCAGTTTCCACCTTTTATTAATGGCAGTTGCCATTAATACTATAGTAATGGCAAACTCTAGATATATATTCTAGATTATTATTCTATGTTTCCATTCTATATTTCCATTCTATAGTTCTAGATATAGAACTATAGTAATGGAAAACTCTTCACTTACATTCAAAAGTTGAAGTTCTGTCTAGTTTAGTTAAAATATAGAACATTAACACACAGATGTGCATTAGAGGAAAAACATGTGAACTTAAAAACTGCCAAACCAAGAGAGAACAGAATTTTAGCAAGACAAATACTTGTTTACAAGAGCAACTAGTAGAAGACAGATGCCACATTTAGGAGAAAGGACAGTTATGGGGTAAACCATAGGCAGTGTTTATTGGTGTTCTGTACTTACAGACTAACCCAAGTTTCTCCCTTTCACTGGCTGGTATTCAAACTCATTTTGGGTTGTATTCATGAATATCTTCCCAGTCCACCATGTTCTTGGCAAAGGAAGAAGAAAATCCATAACAAAGTTGACAGAGCAGAAGACAAGAGTCTTTATTAATTAGGTAGGAAGGGGGGGGGGAGTAGAAAAAAAGTAGACATATGTAGGGGGGGAAAAATACAGTATTAGACTACTCTTTAAAAGAATCCAAATACTTCTGTAATATCAACCATTCTTAGCTCACTGTTAGAAAAAAAAAAAGTAGTATTGTTAAAAAAATCTCTGGCAGTCTAGTATTACAAAACCGCAGGACAGTGAAAATTATCTTCTTGCAGATGTTACAAGAAAGACATAATGTATTCTTTTTTTCACTTACTCATCTATATTTCTCTGTAGTAAAAGGGCCCAAAACTGAAGATTCAACTCTCACAACTTTGCCCTTCTCTCTTTTTTTCAAAAGTTAAATTTAAAAAAAAAAATTCTAAATACGATAATGATGAGGCTCTTCCAACACGCTTAAAAGAAGAAATGGGTACCAGAAAGGGTACCAATACTTTTCAGACAAAACACACACATCTACTTTCTAATAGTAAGGATCTTGGAAGCTTCAAAGTTGAAGACAGAATGCAGATAGAAGTTTGCTGAAGAGGAGGCAGGAGGAATAGCATATTTCTAAAGGTCAAAGGGGTTTCAATACAAATACTCAGTTTGGACACTAAAAGCTAAAGAGTCTTCTTTAAAACACAAAAAAAACTGCTTAAATACATCTTGTATCTCCAGACTTGATTACAAGAAGGCAGAGAAACTCTCAATAGCATTTAGTAGTCATTGGAACCAAAATCTATTTGGTTTTCCAGATAATGGTCTCTTCCAACCTGACTGTACAGTCTGGGAACTGTCAGCAAGCCTAAGTGAAGTGAACTGTGGAGTTCCAGAAGTTCCTTGAATTAGAGCTTACCGTTAGTTTTCTTAAAGCAATTTTTACAACTGTAGCAATTATTCTGAGCACTCTGAAGACTTTGAACAACAAACATTTTAAAAATAATTAAAAACCAGATTTGTGAGCTTCTTAATTAACTTACCAGACACACACAAAAAACCCCAAGGTACTGACAACTGTCAGCGTTGCTAACATTCACTTCTGTTTTTTTCCTTATAGTTTCATTAAGAGCAATCTTGATAGCATTGATAGAATATGTTACACAAGTTTTACTCAGCCATGTGATAAGAAAAGACAATGCAGAAAGAATCGAACCTTGCAGAATATACCATCTAAGGAGTCTTTCTGCTGTGTTTTTTGCAACCAGACTTGCCTTTCTCGTATTGGCCTTTTTAGCCACCAACGCGCTTGCAAGAAACGTGGGTAGAGCCCTTCCCAAATCTTCGTTCGCGAAGCCTAGCCATGACATGTTGCTTAGAAGACTGTGCCACTTGAGTACTTTACCATAGCTTCAGCAGGTCATTTTTGAAATCTGATTTTTTCTTCAAACTTCCAGAAGTAAGTTATTTTTATAGCAAGTATAAGTAAGTTCAATCTTAAGTTACTTAGTAATTGGCCTTAAATGACTGCGGGGCACGAAATTTTAAACAAAAACAATACTTGAGGCAATGTTTTTTGTCAATTTCAAAAATAAGGAAAAAGACTCAGGAAGCCATTAGAAAGTCACCTAGAAAAGAGACAAAAGTCTATTTTAAGCCCAATTGTTTCTCTTACGAGTAAAAGTACCTCTATTTCAATTCACATCATTCAATTACTACTTGATTATGACACAATATATATGGAGAGCTGAAAGACATAGAAATGCTTATATTCCTCCCTCCTTCAGGCCTTAACCTCTGTACTGAAAAGGCCCAAAGACCAGAAAACAAGATTAAATAAGGCCCTGGAATACCACCACCACCACTCAAACAAAATCAGCCACTGCTTACAGACTATTGACAAACTCAAACTGGAAATGAACCCTTCCAAATGTATCAACAGAGCTAAATAGATATTCCTTGAGAGACTGTACTCAGACTGTTAACCTTCCTCTCTTTCATTAGTCATTGACTCATGGATCAGCACAGGCATCATCCAGTTTCACATAACATTATTTTAACTGTTGCATTTTCTTACAAGCCAGTTTGGGTTTGGCAAAATGGGGTAACTATAATCAAAATGGGCTGAACCAACTGGAACAACTTCTATTGCATGTACAGTGACTTGAAACAGAACAGACAGATTCAACTCCCTTGTAGGAACACTCAGATGCTACCCAAGACACAGGGCTAAAACAGCTGAATACAAGTAATAAGAAATGCTGCAGGAATAGGTCAATAGATACACTAGTCAACAGACACTTAGCAACAGAATGTCTTTACACACAAATTAAGTCCAGTCTCTTGACCTTCCTTGTAGAATCTTATCCTCACCACCGGGAAAGCAGGTAGGAGAATCAAATTGCAAAAGTAGTAAAGAACATGCGTAAATTAATAAGATGACATTTATAGCTCTAGTAGGATCTAAGGGTATCTTCATTACAAGGTTTTCCCGCCAGGTAGAAGTCACTATGAATGAACTCAACTTTATCCACATCACATGGTTATTGCGACAGGACTGAACCCCAAAGCACAAAAACACAGGAGGCTTATCTTAAGATGTTAGTTATCTTAAGATGTGCATTTTTCAGAAAGCTACACACACATATCTTCTTCCTGCAAGTTAACAGCATTAATTCACTGAGAAATATTTCTTTAAAGTTGTCCAGACATTACCGATCAAGTACCTGTCGAATTGGGCATCTTCAGCTTGGCTATTATTCACATTTATGTAACGCAAAACTGCAGTGCATAATTAATAATACTCAAATGAATTGCCAATGATGCCCTGTTCTGTATTTTTGAGCACTTAGGCACACCTCCTCCCCCATGCTCTACTTGATGGAACACAGACAGCACTTTCCAAATCTTTGCTTTGTTTAACCTTTCATTTTGTCAGTATCAAGTGCCCCAGACTATCAGCACAACTCACACTAACAACAACGAACTGAAAGTATCCTCCTCCCATACTGAAGTCTATTTGCATCTTTGGAATACTCCCCCTATACAGTCAAAATCAAGGAATTGTCTAGATTTGATGTAACTAGAAGAGTAACCAAAACCAACTCATAAATTACTATCCTTCATTATTAGTAATGATATTATTTAGAGAAAAATAGTCGTGTAATTAGAGCATAATTTCGCATTAGATGGGTCAAAACTTTCCGTTTGAAGCAAACTTTCTAGAAGAGAAGCTCAATTTTAGCCGTGAAAAGAAACTCACTTTCTTTTCTGTGGTCACCACAAGAGGAAAAAAACCAAACCAAAGCAACAAAACCCAAACCAACGATAACTGCAGCAACAAAACAAGATCAGAACATACCCCAGAAACTTATTATTGGGATAAACGCCAAAGAGTAACTATTTCATGATATCATCTCATCTATCTTAACTGTGAGACAAATTTTCATTAACATTTTAAATATATGAATGCATGGTATGCATGGTGAGCTTTTGATAGTGGGGAGAGCTACAAGGGTGTTTTCTGCGAGAAGCTGCTAGAAGCTTTTCCTATGTCTATGGAGCCAATGCCAGCTGGCTCCAAGGTCAAGCCCACCAGCAACAGGAGTAATGCCTCTAGGATAACATATTTAAGATGGGGAAAAGTTATTGCACTGATGCAACTGTGGCAAGAGAAGAGAGGAGTGAAAATATGTGAGAGAAACAACTCTGCAGACACTACGGTCAGTGCAGAAGGAGGGGGAGGAGGTGCTGGAGGTGCCAGAGCAGGTATCTCCCTGCAGCCTGTGGGGAAGACCATGGTGAGGCAGCTGTGCCACTGCAGCCCATGGAGGTCCACAAGGGAGCAGATACCCACTCGCAGGATGTGGAGGATCCCATGCCAGAGCAGGTGGATGCTCAAAGATGGCTGTGACCCCATGGGATGCCAATGTTGGAGCAGTCTCCTTGCAAGACTTGTGGACCCGTAGAGAGAGGAGCCCATTTTGGAATAGGTTTGCTGGCAGTACTTGTGGCCTCGTGGGGGATCCATGCTGAAACAGCCTGTTCCTGAAGGACTGCACCTTGTGGAAGGCACATGCTGGAGCAGCTAATGAAGAACTGAAGATCATGGGAAAAACACACATCAGAGAAGCCTGTGGAAGACTGTCTTCCATTGGAGAGACCCCACACCAGAGCAGGGGAAGGAGTCCTCCCCTTGAGGAGGAAGGAGTGGCAGAGACAATATGTGATGAACTGATCACAGCCCCCATTCCTCATTCCCCTGAACTGCTGCAGGGAGGAGGTAGAGAGAACCAGAAATGAAGTTAATCCTGGGAAAAAAAGGGAGGGACAGGGGGAAGGAGTTCAGAAATTTTGGGTTTATTTCTTATTACCCTATACTGATTTGATTGATTATGAACTAAATTAATTTCACAAGTTGAGTCTGTTTTGTCCATGATGGTGACTGGTGAGTGATCTCTCCCTGTCCTTATCTCGACCCAAGAGACTTTTGTTATTTTTTCTCTCCCCTGCCCAGCTGAGGAGGGGAGCAATAAAGTAGTTTTGGTGGGCATCTGGTATCCAGCCACCATAATGAAGAATAACTTTTCTTGCAGGAAATAATACACAGTAACAGAGACAATGTGTTTTCCTGAAGATAAATACTGACATCATAAGGTACCATACAGAACAATACTAAAAGCCCCCAGTTATCTCCTGATCAGTTCTTTGCTTATAGATCTCTTTGGAGTCTTTGGAGTTCTTCATGGAGGGAAAGGATTTGCAGATTGCACTATCTGATGAAAATCAAAACAGTACTCAGTATTTTTCTGGAGAATTGGAGAAATCTTACCAAATAGGTTTGAAAGTTCAGAAAAATAAGAAATCAACAACAGCTACAAATTTAGAAGACTGTTAGATGATTTCAGGAATGATGTGGTAGGATAGTGTGGGAGAAAGATAAATGATCTGGGACCAGAATCCCTCCCAATCTCACTCCATGAAAGACAGTTTGATAGACAGATGTCAACGTGTACACACACTGAGGCTTTGCTCTGTTATTTACAAAATTAGGATAGGTTATGTGCAAACACAGTAACAAGCCTATTAAAGGGATACCAGGTGTATATGCCTCCAAAAATTTGCAACAGAGCACTGAACAAAAAAGTTTATCTGCATTCTCAGTAACTTTAAAGTGGAAATGAAGCGTGCATGTGGAAACTTGATGAGAAAACAATTAACATCAGTTTGCCTTCTCCAAGCTCAGGCCCTCAAGGAAAAACAATACAAGCAATAAATTCCTCGACTATTTATTTTCCAACCAAAGAAGGCTATAAACAAAATTCATTAAAACAAATAAATTAACAGAAAAACTATAATTTTCTATTTTATGATAACCACCTGAGTAAAGGTGGTGGCAGCCACAAGTTCTGAGCTCTGGATTACAACATGAGCCATGACTGCGGGCCTGAGCTGGAGAGGAGAGCATGTAAAGAAATCCTATCCCCTTATGACCTTTTTGTTCTTGGCTGGAGAAGTGATTTTCTTGGGACACTTACTGTATTTAACCAGCATCTTTGCCAAAACACAAACAGATCTTTACCTCGAAGGCCCCAACATGTTTAGCGGGTTTTTTTTCCCCCTTTAAACTAAAGACCAAAATAACATGACTTTAATAGGAGACCTCGACTCAAAAAACGAAGATCTGCAAACACAAACACGACCGTCATTGTCCATCAAAGCTTCAGCCGCGATCGCGGTGGAAAAACCCGGTCCGAGAGGCAGAGACGTGCCCGCCGTGCGATCCCGGGAGTGCAGCGCCCGAAGGGCCGCCCGGGGCACACGGGGCGTTTAACGCGGCCAGGGAGGAGGGGGCGAGGAGGGACCACCTCGGGAACCGAGACAAAGCGACCCCAAGCATGAGGCGCCGCGGCACCAGCGCTCCCGGCGCTGCACAAAGAAAAGACCAACTTTAGGCTGGGCGGGCCCTCAGGGGAGACTCAGCAAGCGGAGCCGGTCCCGAGCCCCCCCCCGGCTGCGCGCGGCCCCCGCAGCCCCGCGGGCTCCGCTCGCCGTCCCGCAGCAGTCCCGGACCCGCGCGCCCACCTTGGCTACCGAAGAGGCTCCACAGCTTGGCGAAGATCAGGCCCATGCCTGGCCCCGGCTTCCCACCGAGCCTCCTGGACACCCTGGGCTCAGCCAGGCGGCGGCGGTAGCAGTAGCAGCACCAGCTTCCCCGGATCCCTCCGGCAGCGGCCCCGGGGCAGCGGGAGTGGGCGGGCGGCGGGAGGGGCGGGCACGCGGCGCGGCACCGCCCCCCCCGCCCCGCCAACGGCCGCACGGCGGGGCCGCCCCAGCGCCGGCACGGCGGGACGTCACTGCCGCGTCAGCGCGGGGGCGGGCCGGGGGTAGCGCCTCTGTGGGGCCAGTTGCGAGGGGAGTGCGGCCGTCTGCCCAGGCCTGGTGAAGGGCCCACGGGGTTGGGGCCGGGGCTGGGCACGATCGGGAGGAGAGAGGCGCCTCGCCCCGCAAGGGAGGGGAGTCACGGTGCCCCGCGTTGCAATGGGAGGCGCTGGCAGCGCATGTTGCCCGTCCCCGTGTCCTTCAGCCGGGCGGTGCTGTGGCCGGTCCGCGGCCTCTGCCTTTTACAAGGGTTGCGGGTTTCAAGGCTCACAGTTCTCTCGTGTGTAGTAAAGCGTGTAAAAACAGCTGGGCTCGCTTTCAGTGCTGTACTGCAGGTTTCTGCATACTGATCTCTTGAGCGGCTACGTGGGTTTTATCCCTCAGGAGAGGTCAGTAGGAGAGCACGAACCCTGCTCCGCCCTAGATGGGGAATCCACAGGCACTTAGATGCAGGAAGGGTGGAAGAACAAAACATGTTATTATAATCCACTCATTTCAGCTTTTTCAGAGGGAAAACATTAAAAAAAAAAAAGGCGCTCTCAGCAACGTCTTGTCCAATGAGCTCGGGCGCCCCGGGCTCTGGCCCCGCCCTGTTGCCGCCCTCCCTGTCCCCTAGTGGAGAGCGGGTACGGCGGTTGCACCTACTCCCCGCCCCGGCGTTCCCGGCTCCCATGGCGACTCCGCACAGGCGGGACTTCCTGCGGCCGTCCCGGAGGAGGCGGGACCGGCTCGGGCCCGGCGGTAGGTGGGGGGCTGGCGGCGTGTCGGGGTTTGCGCGGGAGGGTCGAACGCCGTCCGGCACCGGCACCTGTGTGCTCCGCCCTTCTCGTGGTGTGCCGGCTGTCCCTCGATGTCCGTCGAGGCTGAGGGGGCGGTGGCGGCAATGGCACCTCCCCCGTACTCCTGGACTGAGGTGCCTCTCAGGGCGGCGAAGAGCTGTGTGTCCGTTAGTGTGTCCTCTCCCACTCCGTGGTGTTTTCAATAATGGACGGATGAGGAAATAAAGGAGCGCGCCCCAACTTCCACTCCCCACAGCAATGAGCCGACTGACTTTTTCCTTGTGTGTGAAAAGGTGGGGAAGGGAGGTTTGGAAGAATCGGCATCTCTGGTGCTGACTGCGTTTAACAGCTCTCAGTGTCCATGTGCGTAGTTAGATCAAAGCGCTGGTCCGGCGTCGCGTTCCTCGCTGCGGTTTCCTCCCCACTGAGGCACAGGGAAATCTGCAAGGAGATGGTGAATAGGGAGGGGAGGCTCCCTCAAGGGCTTTCTTCTGAAGCCTTTACTGTGTACGGCACAGCAGGTCTGGGCAGAACAATACCTCTCGCAGGTGTCGAACCTGCCACCTGCGGAACGCTTGAAGTCCGAGTTTTGTACTTGGAGGGGCACTAAGGCTGTCTCCCTCATCCGCCTGGCTTCCTGCCGTGTCTGAATTTATAAGCTTCTGTCCCCTCTCGGCTATGTTCCCCAGACTTGAAGACTGCAAACTGTTTAGTTTTTCCATATTTGAAAGCAATTCCCTATGTATCATAATCATCTTTTTTCTAAGCTGCATTGCATCTTTTCTGAGATAATGGCCGCGGAAAGGGCATACATACCATGCTCAAGCTGAAGGTTATGTGGGTGTGCTCTGAACCTCTAGTTGTGTGGTTTTGACATTTCCAGGCAGCTTACAATGATTTTATTCTTTTGAAAGCTCTTTTTAACTGAGGAATTGATTTTCATTTGTGTATTGTTCCTCTCCCTGAAATAAGCACATGTAGTATTTGTCATTCAAATGGATGTGTTGAGTCCACATACCTTGCAGGTTCTGTGACAGAGGAGCTGTTCTGCAGTCATGTTTCATACCACGTCTGATGAACTAGTCACGGTCAAATTTTAACTTCTCCCATTACACATTCTGTAACTTCCAGAAATGTTCATCAACTGTGGTTAAAAGCATAGATCTGGCATCATGCTTCTGTGTGAGTCTGTCTGTCTCTACTGAGGGCAATCCCCTGGGTACTATTTTTACCCACTGACGGATGCCAGACCCCCCTTCCCGAAACCCTTCTGGGTAACTCCCTCCATATTATATACTGGGCAGACCATTCTGTGGTGTGGAATATCCCTTTGGTCAGCTCAGGTCACCTGTCCCGGCTATGTTCCCTCCCAGTTTCTTTTGCATACTTCCTCACTGGCAGAGCATGAGACAAGAAAAAAGTCCTTGACTTAGGATAAACACAACTTAGCAAAAAATCAAAACATCCGTGTGTTATCAACATCATTCTCATTCTAAATCCAAAACACAACACTGTAAGAGCATCTGAGAAGAAATTAACTCTATCCTAGCTGAAACCAGGACAACGGGACAGGATTTGGAGGTGGTAACACTTCCTTCATATTTCAAGCAGTGATACAGTAGCCTTGGAAGGTATGACTTGGAAGGATATGGCAGCAAGGAAACAGTAACCTTGCTGTAAGTTGATTGCAAGTGCTAAACATGTTAATGAACATATTCTGAAATGTAATTAAGAGTAGTGTTGAGTGCAGTAAAATTGCATTACTAAAAAACAGAAGAATCAGAAACCTCAGCTTAGGTTGTGAGTACATCTTATGTTACATTTATAAACTTAGAGAATATGATAAGAACCACTAAGAAAATATTTTGCTTATTTCTGTTCCTTACCAGCAGATTTTATAAAGGAAGATGTCCTTTTTCCCTAAAATCTCTTTCCAGTGTGAAGTTCAAGAGTATCTCACCAAAGTGTTCAGAAATAACGAGGTATGTGACATGAATACTACTAATCATCAACAAATAATCACATTTTTTGTGTAACTTTAAGACTTTACAATAAAGTAATTGTCCTCACATTAGAAACAAAGTTTTTATATAAAACATATTTAT